GAAATTAATGCAAAGGTCAAGGTCATTCCAAATTTGAGAAATTAAGCTCTTTTTATATCTTTTTTGTCTTTAAACATATACTTAATGTCTTTGCATCATTAATATGTACTCTTAAAACTATTTTAAATATTTAATTTTTGTTCCCTTTAACCCTTTTTAAACTTATTGCCCCTTGTGCGAAAAACCTTGTAATCGCTACTCCTCGGTAACTGTAGACCGTAGAGACACCAAACCTTCACTAATGTCTTTAGGAATTTGAGGCATAACTTCACTGTATAAGTGCGAAAGGATCTGATGACCCCTTATATGAGTTATTGCCCTTTAACATCTTTGTACTTAATATAAAACCTTATAACTTGAAAACTGTAAGTCGTAGATACATGGGGTCAATTGCATTGTGACCCTTGACCTTTGACCTTGAATATTTTTCAAGGTGAAACGTCTCATTCCATTTTTTTTATTTTTATTGTTTCTACGCTTTCAGACAATTTTGGAATTGAAGTTAATTTCAAGGAGTCGATATAAAAAAAATTGAAATTCAAAGAAGTGGTCTGTGAACAATAAGTCCTTTGTGATTGATTTTTTTTGCTTGTCAGGCACACCTAATTACTGTCAGTTTGGAATTGACTTTCCCCATAGCGGCACGCACAAACCGATAACAGCTGTAACACATAAGCACTAAGTGGCCAGTTATCCCAGCGGGGAGAACACCAATTGCATCTTTGAATTTAAGTTCCAGTTCACAGTAATTGCACTTCATATTGTCAAAAAGACATTGTAAATCTACTACAAAACGGGTCTGCGTAACAGATCTGAAAAGAATGTATCATTGATAAATTCAAATGAAGATGAAGCTGAGTACATGGAGTAACACTGGTCTGATGATGGAAATGTGTTTTCAGCAGCTGGTACACAAGCAGATGTAAAAACATCTGTACATTCGTGTGGAAAAGTACTCGAGGTTGCGTATGTCGACAACTCTGCAAGACATGATTGAGCAACTTTTTTTCTATACGATCGCACTTTAAAAGCATACTCCTGCTTAGATTGACGATTTCTTGCCTTCACTTCTTTTGCAAATCGAACTCTAAATCTCATAGTCAGATCTTACAGTTCGTATCGGGTATTTGACAGATGGTACGTTGTCGTCTGACGCAAGACGTATACAGTGACAGAAATGTAAAAAAAAAATGTCGTAAAAATCGAGAATTGTAATTAAAAAAATATAATAGTTTACAAGCATTTGGAATTGTTTATCTACAACAAACAAAAACCATCATTCACGCGACGATGCGCACGATCGATAACTCGAACTACAGTCGACCCCCTTAATTCTTGGTTAAAGCAGAGTAATCGAAATCAATCAGCGGGGCTCACGCCATGTGGCTTTAAAATCTCTTCGTACCGCAATCGTATATAATAATTGACTCTTTGAGTATAATTTGTCGATTTATCATATTACGTTTTTAATTTAAAAGGTAAAAAAATTATATATTTAATAAGTTAGAAGTAGAAATTCTCTCAAATTCATTTCAAACTCCAAAGGTCAAGGTCAGAAGTGTTGGTACCCTAAAGAAGGTATTGTTACAAGAAATACACCTGTGAAATATTAAGCCTTATTTATATTTGTTCCAATCTATGACCAAGGTTAAAGTTTTAGAAAAAATGGGTCAAACTCTTAGGTCAAGGTCAAAAAAATTTATACCAGCTGAAAGGACTTGTTACAACGAATACACATGTGAAGGATTAAAGCCCAAGCTCCAACTGTTCAAAAGTTATGGCCAAGGCCAAGGTTAAAGTGTGTATTATTTTGTAAAAGTACGTGAAACTCAAATGTCAAGAGGTCAAATTGGGTTGTACCCATGGAAAGGTCTTGTCACAAGGAAAAAACCTGTGAAATATGAAGCCATAGCCCCATCAACTCTATAGTTATGGGCCAGGTTAAATTTGACAACAGATAGACAGAGAGACAAACAGACAAAAGTATTTTTGTTATGTGACTTCATGGGTGGTTGATTTCTTCGTCTAAAAGTCTTCCCCGCTGAGGCAATAGAAATATTACAAACATCGCTGGTAATTTTATCTATATCATGTTGATTTACAGGTTTCTCTTTTAATTTTTCAATACTGCTTAAAACTTATTAGAAAAATTTAACACTTCTCGTTCAGTGTCAGTAACACTGTCAACTGATGTGTATCTAGTGTTTTCTGGAGGTATATACGTAATTCCAAACAATATATCTGAATGTAAATCAATAACTTCTTTTGATAAATAAAACCAAAATAATTATTCACAATTTGATGTTATGACATCAACATATTTAACTAAATATTCTCTCACTGCAAGGATAATTCATCCTGAATTAATTCTAATTTTGCAATATTGAATCTATTCTTCAGATATACAATTAACCCTGGGATACTTATGACATCAGTGTTATCCTTTTTTTTTCATCGGTAAAGCATAAAACATTGTATTTACGAAAAAAAATTAAAAATTCAGTATAATTTAATTTTCTTTTGTAGTCCACAGACATTTAAAGATAGGAATGTCAATGCCTGCATAGCCTGGTCCCCCTTGTGTCCCTACAGTCGATCCGTGGGTTGTTTTTTTTTTGTCGGCTGCATGGACTGTCCATCAGCTGGCACTCCCGAGTTGATCGCGCTACTGTGCGATTGTCGTTCCGGTTGAGTAGTTGTATCTCTGTCAGGATTGTATAATTCACCGTTGATGTAAAGTCGATCTTTGACTAGCTAGATTTACGCGCTTTCTGTCCAATTTTGCCTTGCTCATGAAACGATATAGTTTCTTTCTTCGTTCCTCGATTTCGGGAGGGAACTGTTCGTGAACCCACACATTAGAACCGTCGAGTTTCTGCGGGGCGCGTGTCCTTTTTAATTCCCTCTCTTTAGAGTAAGTGATTTTAGCAACGATTTGTCTTGGGTATTCATAATACCCGGTATTCCTTCCATTTCCCTATGCGGTGAACTTTTTCAAAGGAGATATCCTAGTGTAGTTGAAATTTCCTCTTGATGAATATGTGTAAAACGCCCTCTGTATCCTCTCCCTCCTCCTATGGGAGATCAGTCCAATTCTGGACACTTTTGACCTGTTTTAGTATGTAACACCCAGCAAACGAAAATAAACACTCAACACACTCTGATTTCAAGTGGTAAAGTATGGAAACACTTTTTGGCAACAAAATGCAATGAATATCATCATGAAAAACAAATATCTTTTATTGATAATAAAATGAATTCAGGTGGTGAAATAGTGCAATTCCGGACAACATGGGGTAATTCCAGACAGAGACGGGGTAAATCCGGACAGGAGAGCAATATGTGCTTTGAACAATTTTTTTTGTGAGAAAATGCATTCCAACAACATGCCACTTTGTTAGACAAAGCATGCCTAAGTTTTACATACATGTAACTTTGCATGTATATTGCACATTTTAACGAGACATGCGAGAGAGAGATGAGGGTTAGGGTCTTGCATAGAAATGATATCATAGAACCCTCCCCCTTCCCAATTTGATTTTTATAAAGAAAATTGTTTAATCGTCGTTAAAGAGTAATTAGTTAAATAAAAACAATAATTCAGACACTGAACTAATTTTTTCTTGGGTCTTTTTATGGGCCGATGTGTCAATAATTTTGGGCCGACCCGTCCATGCCTAGGTGTCAACCGTCACGGGCCGAGATGTCGTTGGGCCGAGATGTCTGTCTACCAATAAAACCAGCGTCCGGAATTCCCCCACCCTGAAAAAAATCAGTGGGGGAAATCGGAACACATTGTTTGATAAAATTTAATGAAAAAATTAACATTATTTTGTATTATTCATCACATTTTTTTCTTTTTAAACAAATGCTCTCTACTTAAAAAATTTTAAAATAATAAATGGAAATAAATATTTATCCTAGATGTTATTTTAATTCTATGTCAAATTGACCTTAATTGTTCAAATTTTGCCGCCTAATGGATTTCAGGAACGTAAAAGTCCAAAGTCTAACTTTTGACGTAATTATAGCACTCAGAATACCCTAGAATCATTACAATGTTTTAAAAAAAGACAACAATGACACCCGCTTTCCGAATGTACTTCATTTATTTATAATCAACCATACAGAATTACCGAAACATAAGACAAACGAGAAAGACTGCATTATTTGTCCGGAATTACCCCGTGTCCAGAATTGGACGGATCTCCCTAACACAAGATTGTCCCTCATGGACCGGGCCTTCAAATCATTTACACTTTCTTGCAGATTTGCGTTGATGTCTTTAATTTTACTGAGCTCTTTGGGTATACCGGTTTTAGAATCAGAGACTTTCTGTTGCTAAGTGTACTTTAATAACGTTAATGGCTTTAATCGCAAGATGAAGTACGTTTATCGTTTTTTAGTTTGATACAACTGTTTAGCTCAATATTTACATTGCAAAAAATCCCATATACATGCATTGTTCTAATGTAATAATAAGCCGTCGACAGTAAAAGTCAGCGTCTCTCGCTAAAAGTTCAGATCACTATATGTTTGTCCGAAGAACGAGGATTAGAGAAGTTTTAATTTTTATCCGCACTCTTGAATATTTAGAAAAGTCAACAAATCTTTTAAAACCTAAATTTGCTTTAAAAAATAATGATGAATCCTTAAAGGCGAGTTGTCGTCAATATAAACGTCGAGGGTTGTGATATAGAACGAGAAATTTAAACGCATTGTTTATAGATTGAACATAACGGTGTAAAAGACAAATAGATTTCTCCTTCAAAATCATGATTACTTTCAAGATGAGGGAACTCGGCAGCTGTCTTTGAGTAAACTAATTACCATTCCGCACTTAAGAAATATAAAAGCAATCACCAACATTTTGATATGCTTAAAAAAGATGTTTTGGGGGGATATTGATTTCTGTTGCAAAACTAACTAAAGTCGTCTGAACTTAAATAGCAATTAAAATATATTCTTTTGTTTCACGTGGCTAAGGGTTTTATTTGCTAAAGTTTGGTATTACCAAATGTTAGATTATGAAGTTTGTTGAGCTACATCCAGAATCCAGACTACATTAGAGAATTAATAGCGTCACTGGGTTTCTCTTTCTGAGAGCAAACAAACTTACCATGCGTGTGCGTACTAGTATCTATATTATCCTTGGATTAATCTTTAACATTGTTATATTATCCGCAGATCAGATACTTTATCAGAGGGTGAACTTATATCCCCACACATCTTGCAGCAGATCCGGGGGTCTATACAGCGCCCTCTGGTGTTACCGCCGCTGCGTGAGAGTGTTCGGTGTGCCTTTCTTGGTGAGTTACGATGAGGAAGACCAGACGTGTTATTGTTGTAATAAAGCTCCAGGACAAAGCGACAGTGAGATAACAGGGACCGGACTGCATACATTTAGGACAGGTGCTGTAATTTGTGGGCATTTTTTTTTAAAAAGGATAAAAAAAAATGAAATGGTTTATCAGTATAGTAAATTCAGACTGTGTTTAAATAAATGTTCTACTTTAAGGAAGAGAGAAATACCAAGTTTTCCATTCTTTGAAGTATCACTTTTAAAGTATAACTTCATCATCTGAATAACGAATATCCGTTCAGCAGCGTTATAAATGAAGAACTGCGAACGATAGTTTTGTTCTCCCGTCTACCTCCAAGTCAATTTACAAAAGTGAACATATTCGATGAATTTTTAATATATTTTATAGATATTTATATGGATTTTCATAAAACATTACTTATTTGGGAAAACAAAGAAAGATAACTTTAAAATTTTGGTAAAACTTGTTTTTCACTAAATAATCAACGGAAAATGATTTTTACCCCCCCCCCTCCTCCATGTCACAAAAATTTCTTTTTACAGGTAATATGGAATGTTATTTTACATTCATACCAAAGCTTTGTGTGTGACACGGGGGGGGGGGGGAGAGAAAAATATGTTTATTGTTGACAAAATCGATAAAAATGCGTATTTTCCACCATTTTCAAAGCGATTAACAACTGAAACATTGTATTTTATTGATATACATGTATTTATGTTTTATTTATTTGCCTAAAACATACGAAAAGATATAATGAACATTTAATCATATCCAAGACTATTTCAAAATATGATGTTTGTAACTCCGATTTTAATGGAAAATATCGTCTAACACCCCCCCCCTTTTTTTCAAGAGCTGGAATTTGGATAATTTACCGTATAGCGCTGGTATTAAGGCACTTCATCAATTACCATTGAACTGTTCTTTGTATTAAACAAAGATTTCATGGTACAATTGCTATTAATATTGAATTAAATAGTTTCAAAATGAAGGCGGGAATCGAGAGTAAGCGTGCGTATTTCTTTAAACAACTCTCAAAAAAAGAATTTTTACACTCAGAGACTATTATAAAGAATAAAAATTGTACGCTTGATTCCTTTTTGACAAGGCTCATTTAGTTTTATTATGCATATATACTAATTAATACGTAATTGATAGAAAATTTAGCTGTTGAGGAGTTCCATTGGTATTTCAGAGAAAGAATAGTCAAATAATCTAGAGAAACTTTAAACATCCATTCATCAAACGGTTTGGGTGGCATTTAACCTTGGAGGGTTTTTTTTGTATCAAAAATTGAAGCATTTTTTTCTTTAAAATTATTTCTGAATTGGAGAATGCCTTAGGAAATTAAATCATAGGAAACAGAAATTATTAAAGCAACCCAAAGTTCAGTTTCAATATATGAATTATTAAATGGTTTAACAGTTGTTGAAGAAGTTGAGCGCTTTGATATAATTTATTTTCAAATTTTATCAATAATCCTCACAATCCTGTCGGAGTTTAATTAGGCACTCGTCTGACCTTATTTAGTCTCGCGGAAAAACGCAATCTATTGTACTCTAATAATAAAATTTTAGATTCCTTTAGCATATTGTTCTTGTAATTGATATCGATATTAATTATACCGTTCATAGTAAAAAAAAAAGTTTAAAATATTTGTTAAGGAATAAATTGTTGTGTAATTTTTAAATTAATAAATGTTTTATAGGTCACTGCCCGTTAGAGTACACAGCGGTAGACTACAAAACCGGCAGAATCTGTCTTCGATATGTGGAGTCAGCGGTGAAGTATTTAAAAGCAAAGGACATATGTACCAAACAATGGGGCGATCTTATTCGACTCGACTCTCTGGACAAACACAATATTCTACGATCATTCGTAGGTAAGTCATTTGATTTGTATCATTTATTTTGAATCGCAAATGGAAAGTTCTGACAGCATATCAGTTCTTCTTTCTTGGTGAAATTAATTTTTGTGTCAGTCCAAAACACTCCTACTAATTATAATGTGTTCGGAATCTTTAATTTTTCAATGTTCCGTCAATAATAAAACCCGAGGAGTACAACGGAGCTCTAACGAGATTAAGCGAGATAAGGTAAATTATTCACGTGGCTAGGAAGCGACTATCACGTGAAAAAGACGTTAATGGTAATATTACAACCAATCTCTATGATAACATAATGACTAACTTTTCTATCGTCAACTTTCCTTACTTATGCAGCAATATACTAGTATCACCTGAATACGGAGTTTTTGTATCTCGGTTGATTCGATAGGCATGCTCTGCGTAAGAGCAATTTCTAAAAGGAGATAAATTATCGACAAACAAATAGATGAATCAAGGACATCAACAGTCTCGTTACGGTTTTAAGTCATCATTTCGTAGGTTCTCTGGTCGATACAAGGCTGTTTAAGATTAATTCTACGTTTAACGTCACCCGCGCGCGTAGGTTTTGGAGAAAATCGTCTTAGAAAAAAACAAACAATTCGGAATTCCGAATTTCCGTTCCGGTTTGGTTCTACATTTAGCGACTCAATTCTGCATCCCGTAGTGACAGAAAATGTGCTTTTGATTCCTCAGTAGATGGTGTTTGTGTTTATTAAATGAAAAGGAGTGAATTAAACAGTATGGGATCATAAATGTAAGTAAAAAAATTGATGTTGATTTATGACAATTGAAGTTAATGACAAAGTCTAGTTTGTTGATTTTTTTTGTCAGTCTTCGAATCATATGTACCATGTGTACAGACTGTGACAATGACAGACTCAGTTCGTGATTATTTTGGCTGAACTTTTCATCGTATTTTGGAGAGAATCGCAGAGCTTTTAACTGAGTGCAAGATGTGTAAAAAAAATTATATACAGTGAGATGCATCATCTAAATTTTATCAAATACTTTCATATTAAATATATGTAAAAATTTAAAGGAACAGTAATGAGTAAGATTGATTTCTTCATAATTCAAGTACGTACCTAGTATAAATACCTACATGTTTTTGGAAAGATAATACTAGTCTTTGCCATTTGAGCAGGGAGAAGCTTACAGAAGATAAGCCTTTCAAGTGAAGGAGAGTAAGGAAAGTGGTTGGGTATTTTAAGAAGTGAAGAACCATGTCCTGTGTGTGGAATTGAAGGTATTTAGAATAAACTACATGTAATACACTTTCAAATCTAAATTCTAATAGATCTAGTACTGTGAGAAAAAAATACAACATAATTCAATTTCAAAATATTTCAATGTAAGAATGTATTAAATATTGTCATCATAATCTTTATTGTAGATATTGATCAACTATTCCCACAAGAAGAAGCATTTCCTTACAGGGTACCATAGATGTGAGGCAATATAAATCCAAAGGACAAGCAACTTTCCTGCACATTCAGTCTACATTGTTTGCTCACAACAGGACTCAAACCAATAAACATTCTAAGGAAAAACTCTGCTAGGGAAATTAAACTTAGGTGTCACATCCAATACTCTTATTACTCAATTCTAGTTAATGTACTGAAATGGTTTATTTGAATAAATTCACAATTGTTTGAAATTTTTGTTTGTTTATTTTTTTCCTCCCTCCCTCGTAGGTTTTGAACTTTAGATGTGGCGTTAAACGTAGAATTAACTTTGAACAGCCCAATGACCTTTTCAATAAATAGAATTTATCATTGAGTCAAATGCTGACTGACGTTTTTCATACTAATTGTTAGTCCATCATTTATGCATCGAATTAAAGACCAATTTTCCCGTTTTTTTCGGATGACAAGGAGCACACGGCGAGTATGACCGGGCAGCAGGGGATGCTCACTCCTCTATGGCACCTGATCCCACCTTTGATGATTCGGAGGTCCGTGTTTGCTCTGCTCCCGTTTTGTATTGTTTTATGGACTTTGAGATTGAATACTGTTCATTATCTCCATATCCTTCATAATTTTACAGAAAGTAAACGTCAGAGTGCTGAAGTCGATGTCTGGGTCCAGGGGGTGGATCACAACGGAACGTGGCGTTACCATGACAACCAGGAGTTCACCTACACGTGCCTGGGAGGAGACAGTCAAAACCCAGCGGAGATTTATCTGCGCGCGCGGAGTAAGGCAAATTATGGCTGCAATGATTCGGGACCATGGCGTGTTGCTACGTATCTCTGTGAAATATTCATTCCCAAACATTTGTTACAAAACTGTTCGTCAATATAGATATCTCAGTCTTATATCTCAACCTGTGACGTGTATGTTATTCTTATCGATGATGTAATTATAAACAGTTTTGTAGTATTGTACACAGTATCTAATCTTCATTGCCTGTATCTAATCATTGGATTCTGAAAGCATAGTGAAGCTCAAGTCATTGTACTTTATAACCAAGTTTTTCCTTTCGATTTGAGAATCTTGTATAGACTTTCACCATAGAATTTAAATTTCAAGTCCAAATCTAACTCCAGGTAAACATAAATGACTCAAGGAGCATTTAAAGTGGCTTATTCGTCAAAAAAAACCCCAAAAAATATTGCAAACGTTGAAGCTTAACCTTTTACTTAGGATCACGAGCACTGAAAATAAACTTCGAATGCAAACCGTATGCCAATGTTTTTATGATGCAACTCTACATTGAACTGATACATGAGATTAGTGGAGATATCTTTCTCCGTTCACAAAATGTTTTAATGTTATGAACCAATGATAACACAGTAGACGCATAACGCAAGCGCCTTTGAACATTCGTTGTGTATTTCATTCATTTTTTGGCATCATGTGTATGCCCCAGCAGAAACTACATGTTCCAATAAAAATATAGACAGCTTTTTAGAAATAGATTCAATCTTCAGAGGGTTGGATCTTTCTTTAACAAATGTTGACCAGTCATTACCTTCTTAAAAGATTTACTTCACTCGCTTCAGTAAGGTGCCAAAATCGACCTTTTTATTGGCCAATAATCTAGATTTAATATTAGAACCAATTCCTAGGGCTCAAAGCCTCGAAATACTCTCGGTAACAATGTGAAGCAAATATTTGTGTAGAATTACAAAGAACACGACACAAAATCGTATCTTAGCACCAAAGAATTTTAGAAACATATTATTTATGCCACTGTTTTCATCTGTTTTTAAAAGAGAAATCCATTTATGCATCAATTTTAGTTTGCGTTATGTATCCTTAAGCCATTATACATGTATTAGATATGAGTGATACAAATTGTCTAAAATTGTTTTATCCAAGCTCAATTCATGGTAAATCATGGTATTTTCTGAAATATTGGATTTGTTCCTTTAAGATTGGTTTTAAGAGAGATTTACATGTTCTTGTATAATACAATATTGTATTGCTTTCTTCGTTCTATTAATACTGAGTATGTAAACCCAATTTCTCTCATTTTTTGAAATAGTCAATGTACTTTACGCCTTATGTGTGTAGGTATAATGTAAACATTTATATAGTATTACTTAGTTTCGGTTTGATAGAACTTTAAATCCAGCTCGTCACAAAATGGTTTTTTAATTATTATTTTTAATCTTCCTGTTTTACTTCCTGGTGATTCAATGTTTTAATACAGTGTAGTTAATATTCCATGTTTAAGTCAACAACTTATCCATCACTTTAGAATAATAAAAAAAGAAAACTATTCAAATATTTCCATCAATGCGTCTCTTTCTCTCCAGCAGAGGTAAGTTATTATTAATAAATACGATTACTTTTCTATCTTTCTTTTGAAATAAAAAGGATACATGTTACCGTTGTTTTAGTTGCTTCCTCGTTTGAGCAGGAAGAAGTGTTTAAAACTTATGACCAAGGTTAAAGTTTTTTTTAAAAATGGTTCATACTCTTAGGTTAATGTCGAAATAATTTATATTAGCTGACAGGCCTTAACACAATAAATACACATGTGAAGGGTGAAAGCCCTAGCTCCAACTCTTAAAAAGTTATAGCCAAGGTCAAAGTGTGGTATCTTTTTGAAAAAGTAAGTCAACTCCAAGGTCAATAGGTCAAATTTGGTGGTACCCATGGAAAGGTCCTGTCACAAGGAATGCACCTGTGAAATATGAAAGCAATATCCACCCCCATTCAATAGTTATGGGCTAGGGCAAAGTTGACAACAGACAAACAGACAGACAGGACAAAAACAATATAGCCCCGGGATCTTTCGATCCGGGGAGAATAAAAACTGTAAAAGGTAGATTAAAGGAAATATAAGCAAATGACTGCCATTGATTTGCTTGTATTTAATTTCATGTATGTTACCATCTATTTTAGATTAAGTACAATATTTTTTTTTTCAAATGACTATTGAAATTTATTTAATACACTATTAAACATCGTTTTCGAAAATGCAATTGGTAAGAATGCATCTGGGATTTACAAAAAAGTATCGAGCATTTAAATGAATGCATATATTTTCAGTTATAACTATTGTATAATTTCTTCAATACAATCCCGAATCATAATTAAAATAGTCTAGTATTAGCTAATGGCTTATTTGAATGAGCCTAATACTAGAACAATTTCTTCTGATCAAATTTTGTGAGTTTCGTTGGAATCGTTGTTGCAAAATTATTTTTTTAAAAATATTTTTATGCCCCCCTTCGAAGAATATCTAGGTCAAGTTCTGTTTTGGGTACAATCGCACCATTTTGACGGAGTTATGCCCCTTGGACTTAGAAAAATTTCAATTATTTGCAGTTTCCGCTCATTTTCATTGCAACCGTTGCACATACTAAAATCAAATTTGGTATACCGATATATCACGTTAATATCTAGGTCAAGTTGTGTTTTGGGTACGATGGTACCATTTTTGAAGGAGTTATGCCCCTTGGACTTAGAAAAACTTCAATTATTTGCAGTTTCCACTCATTTTCTTTACAACCGTTGCACATACTGAAATTAAATTCCGTCTGCAGATATTTCACATTAATATCTAGGTCAAGTTGTGTTTTGGGTACGATCGCACCATTTTTGACAGTTATGCCCCTTGGAGTTTGAAAAAATTCCAATTATTTGCAGCTTCCGTTCATTTTCGTTGCACCCGTTTCACATACTGAGATGAAATTTAGTATACAGATTTATCAGATGAGTATCTAGGTCGAATTCTGTTTTGGGTACAATGTGCCATTTTTGACAGAATTATGCCCCTTGGACTTACAAAAAATTCCAATTTGGCGGGAGTGGGGCATTAGTGTTATACAAACATCTCTTGTTTAAAAACTTTTTTCCTTATACTTGTTTAATTATATATTTGGCAATTGAAAATTACATATGAATACCTTAGAAAAAAAAAATCCTTCAAAACCTTTTCAAGAAAACTATAGTCCTGATAAGGTTGATTTGTATGGTAAAGAAGACGGTTGTTGTCAAGTCGAAAAATATTTTATCTGGCAGTTGCTAAATAATTAGATCTGGTCGCCGCCAGTAAAGGCCAGATAAAATATTTTTTCTACATGGAATCTACCGGCTTCCGAAGTATGGCAGTATCCTCATATAGTTGAAACTCAAACCACAAGATACTACATGTAGTAGGCTAGGGCCCTATTTTGGCCCCTAGTTTGGATGTCTTTTAATCTTTTAAAATGATGCAACAATTTATCAATTAAATACAACTTGTTATCCCTGCCATAAAATGAGTACATGTATTTGAAGTTATTGGAAACAAAGATCACAGGAAGATCATAAAATATGTCAATTTTTAAATTCTATCCAATTTTATGCAAATTTTTGTCGGTTTTTTTGGGTACATTTTGTTTCAGAAAACATAGACACAAGTTCGCCTATCGACCAATTATATTACATTAACTAGTATCAGATGCATTTTGTGTATTAATATTTCAGCTTGTGATATATGTTTTCCGATGTAAAATTTAACGAAATTTCATTAAAATTGAGGAAATTCGGGAAAATGTCCCACTTCGGCACCCTCTTGTGGCCTTTATGTAAGCTTTGAATCAAAATGAGTGCTGAGTTTAAACCAAGATTTGTTTACAATCTTAACAACAAACTATCACAATTTCAACTGTGTTCTGAATTTTACGTCAAATAAAGGACCAAATTCGGCCGTAACAATTCCTTATCCTTTGTTAAAATACATGATCCTAGGGTAGGTTTTCTTTACATGGAGAAATATACGGAGATAAAAACAATATTCAATATCGGAAGTCTATTAAATAATATAAAATTGGAGCGGAGCAATCAGGGACCTCCAAAAAAAAAAATAGAAGTGTAAAAGCACATATAACGTACATTTGGACAACAAGCTGACGGAAAAAACAAGGTTTATCTTAGCTGAGCCTGCACTAATATAATAAACGTACATAAAACATAAACCTAAGTCCCTTTTATAAAAGGTATCATGGTAAAAAGCAAATGTAATTACTTAAGTTAATTAAAAGTACATATTGTATCCTTTGTGAAAGCTAAACACAAGACACATATACAAGATTCAGTACAGTGTATTTAACAAGATCTTTTTATTTTTAGACGATTTGTAAGACACTATGGAAGCTAATCAGGATAAGCTGAACGTTAACTTAGGATCCAAACGAAAGGGTTTGTTACTAAGTATCAAGAATTATTTCTTCACTTGTGTACATAAATAGATCCTTTAAGGTCAGACGAGACGTTCCTCAGGAATATATAATTTTTTTTCTAATATTTTTTTTTCATTGAAGAATTACTACTTTAACATGTTTACTCACAAAATATTGAGGTACCTTACCAGGCATTTGTACAAGATACCAGAGGATGGTCTTATATAATCCTTAAGGAGAAAAAACTGTTTGCAATGATTACGTTTTTAGTTTTTCAAATTTTAAAATAATTAGAAACCGGTTTAGAAATCAGAAAGTAATTACATTTTCTTTTTATAGTTTTCATACATTATTAAGATATACAAAACAGATATTTGGAGAACGTATCGTCTGACATTAACATTCATTCAAGTGGTTTATATTAATGATATTATCATTCTAACGCATGGCAGGAAATTACTACTCTTACATATACATGTACTTTAAGAATATTCTAGCATTTTGAACCTTTTATTAAATCATTAATTAAATGTATTTAATTAATTTAATCAATTATTTATTAATTGATTTTGAATTATGGAAAACAATGTTTTAAATTTTATTTTGAAAACTTTTAAGATATGTAGGAAAGATATACCTGGTCTTAAGCAAGTAATTGTACAGCAAAATGATGGCCCACATCGTTATTATTCAGTCATATATTGATTTTTATATAGCTTCCATTGATGAAGAAACGGAAATAAAGAGAAAAAAGCTAGATCTTCTGACCAGACCAGCGATGACGACAATAAGCTTGTTTTGAGTGCTAGAGATGGCTCTGCAGAAAGAGATTTGA